GCCATGGTGTTCCCATTTATTTCTTCTCCGGAGCTGTTTTCTGTCAGAACGGCTATTGATTTTTCCATAAAGTAAGAAAACAAGTACCGTTTAGGGGCTAGAGAGGTCAGCGCAAATGAAACCAGGAGATGTAAGGCCCTCCGTCGGCCCCATTACTGGTTACCTCAAATGTGTTCTTCTCACATTTTGTTATATGATCAGCTGATGAAACAGATCAGAAAAGAAAACACGTACGATTCAAACGTGTGAAGTCACACACTCCAGACTGCAGCTGAGGAACTGTTTAATGCAGCAGTTTCCAACCTGTTTTGGCTCCTGACCCCGTTTTGATGTCACACATTTCTGGCGACCCCAGAGACATGGCCGACCACAGTCACATGATCCCAGCTGTCAATCAAGCAGTGCCACCTTTTTTTAAAATTTTTGTTTGTACTCATTTTATTTTCATTAAAGTGTTTTGGAGTTTTTTTATTATAATTTATAAATGATAATTATCAGTTAAAAAAAAAATTTAGTTTTTTTGGCGAATTCGATTTGAATTCTAGGCGACCTCATGAGGGGCCACAACCCCAAGGTTGTTTGACGGTTTTTTGAATATTAAGTAGATGTGTGAACAAAAAATAATTTCATTGTTGGCCACCACACTCTACTGTGTGATGTATAGGTGAAAGTTTTGCATAAAATTAAAAAATATCTCAACAATAAATTAATTTTTTTCCATCCTCAAACAAAGATGTTTCTCTTCACAAAGTTTGTTCTTTTCATTTTTCTTTTTGGTTAAACTGTCTTTTCAGAGTTTATTACCAAGATGAAATGACAATGATGTCTACTACAAATAAAAATCACATTTTTGTTTAACATTCTTATTTGATGTTTATTTTGAAACTCAGTTGAGGGCCAGTTAGGATGATTCAGCGGGCCACACAGGGCCCGCGGGCTGCCAGTTGAGAATTACTGCTTCACTGCTTCGTCCTTGTTGTTATAAAACTAAAGCCAACGCCACAGAATCAATATCTGTCGCTGCTTTAACTTGAACCAGTGATATTCTCACTACAAGGCTCAAACTCTTTCTGCAGCGCCCCCTTTTTGTAGACAGGATTATTGTGCCTGTGTGGCTTTTTCTTTTCTTATTATACAAGAAAATAGTGTTCCTGCAGATAACACTCCCTGCTAACACTAAGAGCCACATTTAGCTTCGCCAAATAAAATGCACACAAGGGGGTGCTCTCTGTGAGACTGGGGGCAGAGCCAGGTTTAATTACTCAGGCCAAGACAGGAATTCATTTCAAAGCAAATCAATATCACGGCAAGTCACCTATTTATTTGTGACAATATTTCTGGAAAGGTAATAATTAGCTGGCTGACGCCCGCAGGTGTAGCTATCAGAGATCCCTCCCTGGTGATTATTCCAGCTACAGGAGATGAGGATGAAGAGACTCGATCATTCATTTTTAATGTCAACGCAATACCTTTAAAGTGCAGTGGCATGATTGTGATACTTTTTTTTTTTTTTGGTTTAGTTGAGGACATGCTGAATATTGACAACTGGCTGGATGTAGACAGGCGTTATAGATCATCTTAAATGTCGCCTTGTTAATTGCCTCTGTCTGATAGTAGTTATGCCCATGACTTTTATGTTATGAGTTTAACTGCCTTGGTAACTTTACATTTTAAAGGGTAAAAAGGGCTTTTGGAGTTTTGAGCTCCCTTTTTCCCAATGGCTTTAATCTCGACTCTTTAAACAAAGGTGGGATTAACATTTGGCTGCCAACAAACTCTGTGATTTTCACAAATATGTTCCTCCACAGCTCAATAAGAACCACTCCACTGAATATAAAATTAAAGATAATCTTCTACACACTGAAATATCGCAATATTTCATTTCACAATACCGTATCGATATTCTACTGCACTATATTGATTTTTTTATTAACAATTAACAGTCACATTTTTATGGCATTGGTTCATTTTATTCCAATCTGTTCCAATGTTTTTATGGCATTGATTCATTTTATTCCAATCTGTTCCAATGTTAGTAACTTGATGTTAAATTGTTTGAGAAAAAAAAACTCAATACATCGTCATGACTATAGTATCGCAGTATACTCAATACATCATCATGACTATGGTATCGCAGTATATCGCAATACATTGTGTGGTTGCTCCTGTATCGTGATACGTGTCATACCATTAAATTCTTGCCAATACAGACCCCTAATGCTCATTTATTGGTTCTATAGTGTAGCAGTTATCAGGCCTGCTTTACACATCTGCCTTACATGCAGAAGGTCCTGGGTTCGATCCCCAAAGGAACCATTTACTTAATAGTGCCTCCCAGGCAGCCTGTGTGGATGGATGGATGGATGGATGGATGGATGGATGGATGGATAGATAGACAGACAGATAATAGAATAAAATAAGGGACTTCAATTATTTTACTTTAACACAGCAGTGATGTAAAGGCCACCTTACCCCTCAGACATGTTCTCGTCAGCACCATCTCCACGTTCATTGGTCATCTTTCTCTTCCAGCACTCTTTCTCCATCAGGCTGATTCCCTCCGCCGTTCCCATCCAACCACCAGACCTTTTCTCTGATCCTGGCAGCTGCTGCATCTGCGTCGGCCTGAACCTCTGTTTTCCACTCACACTGGACTCATTCAACTTTTGCTGCAGTCTGACCGTGATGCGCGAGTTCATACGCTTGACCTTCCTTCTCCTCCTCAGGGGTCGCCCTGGATTGTTCTCAGTTAAAGAGTCAGACTCTGGCCAGGACGGCTGCCTCATTCTGGCCTGGCCTCTCATGAAGGGGTGCCAGCGGTTAGTTGAAGTCAGGTCATCAGAGTCACTGCAGTTGGCCACTGAGGCTGGGATGGCCGATGAAGAGTTCTGTCTGTACTGAATGGCCTCGTCCAAGCTGGACTCCGACGCCTCGATCCAGTAGCGCCTCTGCTCCGGTGGATAAAGTGAGGGCTCCCGGTAGCGTTTACGGACTCTACGGCGACGGATCTGACGACGCTGTCGCAGCGGACTCAAGACCATCTCCTCCCACAGCTCCCCCAGCTTGGTCTGCTCTGAGGTCTGCTCCAGCGCAGAAACCAGGTCCTGCACCAGTAAATCCATCATAGTGCTGTGGATCAAACCAACAGAGGTGTGAATGTCTGTCGATAAGTAACAAAACAATTCTACAAAGTATGAGTCCTTGTAAGAAATTGTATATTTGTTACATTAATGTCGCCAGAATGATGAAGCATGTCTGATTGGGTCTTCATTTTTTTTTTTTTTTTTTTTTAATGTCTGATTGGGTGTTCATTTTTTTTTTTTTTTGGTTAAGCTCAAAGGTGACATTTCCATAGGATTAATTTATCTATCTCTCTTCTCTTTTGGCTAAATGAGGCTTCTGAATGTGCTGTCACAACATAGTAAGAGTGATGGATGGACTCAGACGATTTACTTTTTCTTTTCTTTTTTCTCTCAAAGTCATTGCATTTGCCTAATTAAGTAATACATTTAATCCAAAACATTTTTTTTAAATTAACTGATAATACTAAGTGTGTTGTTTTCTCACAAGTGAACTGAGAATGTTTCCAATTGTTAATGTTTTCTGGATACTGACTAACTGTGGCATAAATTGTAAACAAAATACATCTGTATGAAAATGAATCAGGTAGGTTGAAAAGTTAAAACACATCAGAAGAGGTAGTGATATTGAATAATGCCATTTATCCTACGGATTGAACAAATCACGAAAAAGGAGACGTGTAGGGCGTCAGGAATGAGGCGACAGGAAAGGGATCCCGCATGAATTAAAGAAACAAGAAATTAATAATATTAAGATATAGATATGGCATTTTATACATATACAATATTACAATTTAAAAGCTAATGTGTAAAGATAATGACATCACTTAAAATAAACAGAAATTTCTGAGCTGAGCTTTGAAGGAAGACTTCCTATTATTATTATTATTATTATTATTATTATTATTAATATTATTATGTCTGTGTGATATTTTAATTCGTGTTTTTAGCATTAAGACAAGGCCCAAGGACAAGATTTTTGTTGGGTTGTTTTTGTTTTTTTTTAAACACTTTCACCCCATTGATACATCAGGATGACATGGACAAACGGATGAAGACAGTACGAGTATGAGTAAAAAACAGCAGAAGGACGTGGAAGCAGCTAGTCTGCTGTGTTGACCCCGGAGGAGAGCAAGTGTATTTAGGGTCTACTTTCATCTCCATCCATACACTTTCTCCAAGATAATCATGTACTTAACAAGGCACAGCAGAGTACGTTTGTTGTTGTTGTTTCACGCTGCTCTGCAACATCAGTTGTGACTCCTGCCTTTATTGTACAGAGATGCTGCTAACACAGAGCTACATTACCGCCTCATTTCTCACTTACAGTGGTCGTCGAGGCATTAAAACAACGTCGGCTGCCGCTAACAAGACACAATAATGATGTCGAGCTAATAATAAAGCTAATAACAAAGCCTTTAAACAGCAGTGCTGCGACACAATAGCAGAGGCAGCTGTGTGTCAGTGCAGTGTGTTACGTAACAACTCGAAGCGCAAGGACACACACGTCTCCCCAACGTTATAATAAAAACAGCGAAACATATATTTTTTTAAAAACCAAAAAAATAACCTGTAGTAACACACTGTACAGTACCAAACATGATACACGTTACGCTAGAAAAGGCAGTGTCTGTGCACTCACCAGTCGAACCCTGTCTTATTTTGTTTTTCTACACAGCTGAGGCGACGTGAACACTTCCGCCCTGCGCTCAGCCAATAAGGAGCCAACACCCTGCTGCCAGCCAATCAGCTGCTTCTCCTTTGAGGTGACGACAGGCAGCGCGTCCTGATACTAGGGTGAAGTGACCGAGGGATTTTAAAGGTTAACCGTTCAGCGTTCAGGGCTTTTTCTAAATATATATTTATTATTTGAACAAATATACACAGTATACGTGTAGTGTTTGTATAATTTGTATGAGAGCTTGAATTTTTATTTTAATTAACCCCTCAAAAATATTTTTCTTGTATAATTAAATAATTAATTTTTTACATGTTCTCTACCAAGGCAGCCATGTTGGATTATGATGTTTTTACATCGGCCCATAGGAGACAAACCAAATACAGTTCAGTTTAACTAATAAAAAACGGGGCTGTCCTGTGTTTTTGTACATATCAGTCCATCACAAATTTGACATTTTATACAGTTGAAAATACTATCGCTTTTGTAAACTAATTAAATAAGGAAAAAAGTTAAATATTTGACTTTGTGGAAGTGGGAAAATACGAACGATGAGGTCATGTTGAGTTTTTAAGATCAGGTGAAGTTTTTTTATATACAACCTATGATAAACCTAAACACAGATGTACTTTAAAAAAAACTGTGTTTTTCAAAATTTAAAACATTTTACCAGTGTAAATGTTGAAGACCTTACCTTCACCTTATGTGGGATTTCACGTTATAATTTGTTGTTTTTACAGATACATGAGGTTCAAACCGAGGGGGCATGGCACACATCAGAGGCGATCCAGTCCTTTTGTTGACCATTCAAGTCATGGCCTAAGGCCCAGTGCCACAGATGCAGTACAGCATCTCAACAGATAGGGACCCAAACCCCGGTCTGCTGTGGTGGAGATAACACAGTTTGCCTCACCACTGATCACTACTAACTTTCATTTGATTAGCGGAGAGCTAACTGCTGCTACCAGTGATCCTACGTGAACCCGGAGCTCAGGGGAATTATGGTGATCACTGTTTTTCCACAGTGATGGTTGTTCCAGGTCAAAACATACAGTAGTATGACCTCATTCTGGGGAGTTCAGTATAGAACTTGGCGATACACATTTTTTTCCTACACTGTCATTTCAACAATGAACACATTATTTTATTCCACTCAGTTGTCTGAATCTTATTTCATGATAATTCTTAAGTACTTCCATCTGCAACCACTTGGCAAATTCACTTGAAGCTGTCAGACAGTTGTTTGACTTGTAAAAACTTAAGGTCAAACTTAAAAAAAAATAACAAGTCACAGTAAGTGACTGGCTCAAGCATTTAAACCCGGGCCACACAAACGTGGTAATTTTCATATTAGCGCCATCATAGCATGTCTCACTGCATTAAATTTTTCTTTATATAATTACACACGATAATTCATAATGACTTGCACTAATACTCAGGATGTAATGTAAACCCTGTGTATCATCTCTGCAACTCAGTCATTCAAAACCGCAGAAGAACTTACTAGGATTTCTTTTTGTAATTACGAATCTGCAGACAAAACGATTACAGCCACTCTATTTCACGCACAGCTTTTAAATAACGATGAACCGTTAAATGTTTGGAAACGTGTGACAAATCCCGACCAGTGTGTTTCTAACTGAGACAAAAAAAAAATCTTTCATCAAGCACATGAAGGCAGTCCAAATAACAAAAAAGTCTGTGAAAACGAGCACAAAAGCCATTTAATCTCTCTCATCTTCCTCTTAATAACTGCACATTTCCCTCTGGGCCCATGGGAGACGGCCTCTCTGTGCTGCTGCCACCTTATCTTTCGCCTCCATATTTCAGCGCGCTGTGGTCTCACTCTGTACCCAGCCCCTGGCCTCTTCTCACCAGGGCCTGTGGGGAAGCTGGGCTCCTGGGTCCGTCATTGTTCCGGCCTGGGAGGAAAGTCCAGAGAGAGTCCCGGAAGCTAAGGGATAGGGAATTTAAAGAAGAAGAAGAAAAAAGAGAGAAAAACCAGCCACTGCTTCATTAACCAGCCGCCTTTCAGCAGCAAACATATCAGAGACAGTCTTCTTTCAAAGACAGTAATTAGCAATTTGGAAACCTTGCCCCCTCAGGATACACAGTTTCAATTTAGTCAGCAGCTTTAGATTCTCGGGGCACTTAATATTCATTGTTTCTGCCGTCTTCCCAATTTCTCCCCGTACATTGTCTGCTCTTTTACTGGTGATAAAGTGTTTTATCTTTCATGTAATTCGTCTTTTCAATGAGCCCTCTGCAAGAGAAGTTAATTTTTTTTACACAAATAATTTTCTAAGGGATTTGGCAGAGAATGTGAGGGCTGTGATAGCAGAGTGATCTTCAGGAGGAAGTGGGCTCAATATCAGACGGCGTCCGTGCTGCCGTGACACACCCTGGTCGTACGTATGAGTATAGAAGAAGTTGCCAGAACTCGTAAGGAAGTGTACTGCAGACGTGGGTGCGGTTTTAAGTTATAAATTATAAATTCGTACAGTCTAGTTCAGCCGTGGTTCAGTGGGTGGTGTTGGTAGTTTTAATACCAGGAAAATCACAAGTTCGATTTCAGGTCCAAAGGTTTGAAATGAAAGGGTTAAGTGTCAGGAAATGGCATCAGGGGAATAAATATGTGTCTTCAAACACACAGGAATTATTTACCTCCAAGAAAGAGGAGCCAAAAGACAAGAAATAAATAACGGAACATTTGAATAATTCTTAGCTTTTCTGCAGCTACATGCTTTACCCCCGTCCCGTTTAATAATCCAAACCACATTCCTCACCTCTGGGGAGAAGTGACACTTATCTTTGCCTCCACGGGGCTTTTGTGTTCAAATGCTACCGATTCCATTCATTCCCAATCAGCATTGTACAAAAAAAATAATTGATTTCGCCTCTTCTTCACAAATTAAAAAAAAAAAATAACGCTTGTGATTAAACATTTTGTCTTCGAATCTAAATTTCAAGATTTGTATCGAGACTTGAAGAAAAAAAATAAATAATAACTCATTAAAACAGAACGAGGAGGGGGAAAAAGGAGAAGTTGCCAAGATGTGAAAAGGGGAGACGGGGAATGGAATAATGAATGGAGTCCTAGTCAGCTATCTTTCCCAGGCAGAGCGCCACTAGGGATGCAAACTCACAGCCACAAGAAATGAGCTACCTATCTGTGAAAAGAGTGACTGCTCCATCCTATTTGATTTGGCTCTGCTATCATCTCTTAAGAAGATGTCAGCCTTGCTTCTTCTATTGCTCTGAGCCTTTATCAACTCACAGACGACTTCCTTGCAAAAAAAAAAAATGAGGGGTGAGACGCATTTCAGTGCCTTTCAGGGAGCAACACTAAAGAATAAGTGTTATGCGATAAA